CCCCAAAACCCCAAAACCCCAAAACCCCAAAACCCCAAAACCCCAAAACCCCTCTAGAATAGAAGCTTATTGAAATGAATTCTTTATTTTAATTATGCTCTAAGAAGCTCTACTTCTCATTCTCCCAGCTCTCTCTCTTGCCGTTTACCCAGGTACCCTTTTTAGTCTCTCCTTTCCTATCTCTAAACTCTCCTGGGCCATGTTGCTTTCCATCTTTCCATTGGCCTCTATACTCTCTGCCGTCGCCCCACTTGAAGACACCAAATCCGTTTCGTTTATCATTAACAAATTGGCCATTATACGATTTCTTATCTTTCCAAGTTAGTTCTCCTTCGCCCATCATTTTATTACTTTCCCAGTATCCTTCGTACCTTTTACCGTCAGTCCACTGGTAGATACCAAATCCATTGATCTCATTGTCTCTAAATTCGCCATCGTACTGAGATTGGTCTGCAAAGATGAGCTTGCCTTTGCCATCTTTCTTGCCGTTCTTATACTCACCTTCGTACTTGGCTCTATCAGGCCAGGTCTCTATTCCATGGCCGTGCTGTTTATCATTGACCCATTCACCATCGTACTTAGCTCCGTTGGCATGTTTATAGGTACCTTGGCCATGAGCTTTGTCGTTTTTCCATTCACCTTCATACACATCACCATCTGCATGATGAAGAGTTCCATGGCCGTTTGCTTTATCATTAGCCCACTGGCCTTTATACTGAGAGCCATCCTTCCACATTTGGATACCATAACCATGTCTTTCTTGGCCGAGCCATTCACCAGTGTAGCGAGCTCCATTGGCGAGCTCAACTTCTCCTCTCTTTTCTAACGTATCTCCTGAGTATGTAGTTGGAGGTGGTTCTGCTCTAGAAGCTTGACCCTTCAAATTATTTCTTTTCTTAGTATGGATCTCTTCCCTATAGTCAGCACTTGTCTCTGGCAACTTCTGGATACTAGGAAGAGCATTATTCTTAGGCGTTTCGTGCCCAAGAGGGTCTTCATCAATGGTTTTTACCTCATTTGTGCAATTTCCACAAAAAGTTGTTCAAGTTTGGCCCATCAAAGAATTTATTTTATAATCAATTTTGAATTTAGTTTTCGGGGTTTTGGGGTTTTGGGGTTTTGGGGTTTTGGGGTTTTGGGGTTTTGGGGTTTTGGGG